TAAGGCGTGCAATATTAAGTACACACCATTTTTTTCCTGATGTTATGCTAATAAAAACAATTTACACTTAATGACTCCCTCTTTTAACTTTTAGGTGCGAGCAGCTAGAAACCTCTCTGCACGAAGCCAACGGCCGGATGCGATCTCTTGAAAATAAAAACAAGGCCTTAGAGATGGAAATAGTAAGTGCACCTTACGGCTTGGATGGAGTAGTCCAGCTGTAACGGCGTGGGGGTAGGGATTCCTTAAAAAGTGCTGAACATGGCTTCAAACGTCTCTTTATGGTCATGAACTGACATGGAAGAGTGAGAAGGAAGACAGAGAAGCCAAAATATGGCCATGTCTCGGTCAAATGGGCACCGAGGACTCCCTCATTTGGAGAGAAGAATTGCCTTTGAATGAAGTAGTTTGGCACCTGGGAACAGAAGTCTGGGAGGTACACCTTGGAAGTTTTGGGTTGTGTTGCCAGAGCGCACAGCTTGGGAGAATACGAGAATTCCCCAGCCAGCATGTTTAAGACAGGTGGGCTTCAACCCCCAGAATTCCCCAGCCAGCATGTTTAAGACAGGTGGGCTTCAACTCCCGGAATTCCCCAGTCAGCATGCTTAAAAGAGGTGGGCTTTAACTCCCAGAATTCCCCAGCCAGCATGTTTAAGACAGGTGGACTTCAACTCCCAGAATTCCCCAGCCAGCATGTTTAAGATAGGTGGGCTTCAACTCCCAGAATTCCCCAGCCAGCGTTTCTGGGAGTTGAACTCCACCTTCCTTAAAAGCTGCTAAGTTGGAAGGACTTTATTGTTGCTAAGTTAAAGGAATCTAAGAAAACAAAGAATTTGTTCTCCCAACGGCGCTTTTTCAAGGGGCAATTGGACACCAGAAATCCCAGTTGCCTCTTGGGACAACCATGACTTGGGTGTCTTGAGAACTTCCCTAGACAAGAATTTGTTCTATTTGAGTGTGTCCCCAATGAAAAACATCTTCTCTCAAATCGGCATCTTATCCTATCCAATGTTACGGCCGGTCCCGCTGGTAGATTTGGTGCTGTCGTCCGACCGGGCTCTCTCTACCCTCGTGCGACTCTCGGCCCGTTTCCCTTTTCAGACCGATTGGCGGGAGCGCTCCGGCGCCCTCAGTACCACCACCAAATCCTTGCAGGAGCGCATCGAAGAGATGCGCACGAGCGGCAAGGACAAAGACAACACCATCAGCCGCCTCAAGAGGAGACTCCGAGATCTGGAAGAGGCCTTTGAGAAAGTTTACAAGCTCTCTTGACAACAAGGATGCCCGGTTAAAGGAAGAAAACAAGATGTTTCAAAACGTAAGTCCCAAAAACCCCTCTTTTTATTTAAACTGCTGTGAATTATGTCCATTCACAGCCCGTAATGAGTCACAAACAGTTTGTGTAGAGTCCGACATTAGTCTGCCAAAGTCTTTCGGGATAAGGCTGATAAGCACCCGCCTTTATCTCCCTTGAAACGCTGCCAGAGACCTAATTGCCATTTAGTTTTGCAAGGCAAAACGGAGCACAGAGTCAAAACGGAGCTTCAGAGTTTAAACCGACCAGAACGAACCAAGTTGCTTCCTGCAAAGGCTCACATCCATTTGCTCCCCTTTTATGTCTTATGGGAGGGGCCAATCATCTCCATGCCTTACTCCCGAGTTGCTCCTTTTGTCTGAACTGTTCTTGCCTTCTGGCAGCTCTGTGCATGCGCACAGTGGGAATAGGCTCCAGCTGTTCTTCTGCCCCACTGATATCCTACTCCAAAGCAGCTGATAACTGTCGGACGGCCCTGGCCCCCTTTCTGCCTCCGATGCAGAGCCCTCGTCCGAGCCTTCCCCAGACTCCAGGACTGGCCCAGTTTCCCCCCCCCCCCAACCTCCTCACTGCCCGACTCTGCCACCAACTCCGCAGTCTATGAACAAGACAACTGTGTTTTTCCACAAAAGTTCTCTTTTAAAGAAAAGACCCTAACAATATTGTGGCGTGGCCCTGCTGAACTGCAGATAGCTGAGTAGAAGAGATTTTCCTCTCATGGAGATTACAGGTCTTTGCTCTTCCTGCTAGCTCAAAGTCACTTCAGTCCCTCCTTATTAAATAACTGCTTCTTGGCTCACACTCTAATGGACTGATAATGTGTGTAAGACTGATTTTTTTTTCTTAAATGCCAGCTAGAAATATGTCACAACAATCACAATCATCTTATTTTAATGACCCCGTAATTCCTTGCGGGGGTGGAGTCTGGGCAACTGAATGGAGCTAGCAGGGTGTTTACTGGCCGGATGCCTCTCCCTGTTGCCAGTATGGAGTTTTGTTCGGCAGATAAATTCTCATGGTGCCCAGAAAGAGAAATATCTGCCTCTCCCTAGGATCGAACTCACTAGCCTCCTGATTGGGAGGCGAGAGCTCCACCTCTAGGCCACCGCACCTCTCTTAAATAAGTCACAACAATAAAAGGTGGAATTTGCTTAAATTCTGATTTGATCGCTTTGCCGGATGCTGCAATCTCTGCCGGCTTGTTTTTTTATTCTAGAATTTTGGAAATCTTACAAAATAATATTTAAAAAATGTTACTTTTCCGATAGCTTTTGGGAGAATACGAATCCCTCGGGAAGGAGCACGAACGAGTTAAGGTAAGCAGTCAATTTTTTTGCAGAGCTGAGTCCAAGAGGATTAAGAATCATATGGGCTTTAGCAGCTCCTTACTCGTGAGTAAAAGCAGGTGTATATACCGTATTTTTCAGAATGTAAGATGCACCTTCCCCCCCCCCCCAAAAAAGAGGGTGAAAATCTGGGTACGTCTTATACACTGAATTACAGCATTTTTGGCCTCCCGAAACCCTGCCTCCTTTGCAAAAATGGACATGCGGAGAGTTTGGGAGGTTTGCAAAGTGCTCCTGGGGGCTGGGGAGGGCAAAAATGAGCCTCCCAAAGCTTTGCATACCCCCCCCTCTTTTTGTATTAAATGAGGCGTGCAGAGGGTTTGGGAGGCCTGCAGAGTGCAAAAACCTTTTTTTTTTAAATTTACCTCTTCAAAATCATGGTGCGTCTTATACTCCAGTGCATCTTATAGTCCGAAAAATACGGTATTTCTCTCAGAAATAAGCTTTTTGCCCGCCAAATGTTTGTCCTTAGGAAAGTTGAATAACCCAGCCTTGTCAGCCGAATTTGTCACGATCTTCTATATGTTTATTTAGACCGCTTAGATTCTCCTGTATCTGAAATAGTGGACAGCAGCCAGCTAAACGGCCCTCTAGAAACAAGGGAACTTGGGAAAACTGCTCAAGCAGATAGTGAAACATCCACCTCAAAAAAAAAAAAAAAAAAGACACGGGATTAACCAGCCGTGGTGGAGAATGCATCCCTCCTGATGGGTACTAAATATGTGATTAATTATTTGCCAAGGACAAGCGAAGAGAAACCTTAGCAAAGTTTTTTTCTTCCCAGGGGAGCTGAAGACAAGTTGAATTAATACTCAGCTGATGAAAGAGAGATACTTAAATCATTCAGTGTTAGTAAAATCAGTGGTTGCGTTACCCTTAATGTTTTTTTTTCTCCTTTAGGATTCTTTAAATATTACTGAGAACAAATTACTCGATGCGCACACTCAAATCTCTGATTTGAAGAGGTAATATTGGACCCTTTAATTCTAGAAAAGCAATGAAACGACCAAAGATTCTCCAGTTTTTATATTTTTAATTGCATTTTTATCAGCATATGTCACGATTAACTTAACTGCGTCTTCATTGAAGGTTACTGTCCAGCAAAGTCGCTAAATCAAATCTAGCAAAAAACTAGCTTATAAAACTCTGGGCATAGACCTTTAATTAAAAAAAATATTTCAAGTTGAAAGGGAAATCCGACTTATTCTCTTTGTTTCATTCCAGTGTTTATCGTTTTCCAGAATTGTTGAGCGTTAGATCTTTGTCACCAAATATGGAAGAATGATTTAACCCAATCGTAACATTTCCAGCAGTTTTTATTTCTGAGCAAAGTTTTTATTTTATTTTTTCTTAACATACAGATAATATAATCCAAAGCACATCTATACATCTTAACAAACATTTTTTCAATATTCAATAGTACATCAGCTAACTACAGCTAGAATAGCATTTGCCCAATGCTGGAAACAAAATAATAACCCCCTCGGACGAATTAGTGATTAAAAAAACTNCCACACTCAGAATACGGCATCCAATTTTGATCACCGTGATATAAAAAAGATACTGAGACTCTAGGAAGAGTGCAGAGAAAAGCAAGAAAGAGGATGAGGGGACTGGAGGCTAAAACATAGGAAGAACGGTTGCAGGAACTGGGTACGTCTAGTTGAATGAAAAGAAGGACCAAGGGAGACATGATAGCAGCCTTCCAATATCTCAGGGGCTGCCACAAAGAAGAGGGAGTCAAACTGTTCTCCAGGGCACCTGAGGGCAGAACAAGGAGCAAAATGGGTGGAAACTAATCAAGGAGAGAAGCAACTTAGAACTGAGGAGAAATTCCCTGACAGTCAGAACAATTAATCAGTAGAACAGAAGTTGCCACCAGAAGTTGTGGACTCAAACATGGGAGGCTTTTAAGAAGGGACTGGACAGCCACTTGTCTGAAATGCTAGAGTCCCATGATGGGGAACCTATGGGGCGTGGGCCACGGGTGCAGACGGAACCCTCTCTGCGGGCACGTGCGCTGTCCCCCCAGCTCAGCTCCACCATGCATCCACAGGCGCCTCCAGTTGATTTTTGGGTCCCTGCCACACATGCGGGAGATCCGTGTGCATGTAAGGGGGGGGGGGAATGCCTGTGCGGGAGGAGCACCAGGGAGGGGGCTCGCTTGCCCCGTTTTTTGTCCCAGGAAGCTTTTGTCCCAGAAGGCTTCAGTGAGGCCTGCTAGCCCCAAAACAGGGCGTGGGAGGGTCATGCACACATGCACGGGTGGGTGGGCACAGGGGTTTGCATCTGCAGGGCTATTGCACTTTTTGCACATGAGGGCAAAAAGGTTAGCCGTCCCTGGTGTAGTCTCTTGCTTGAGTAGGAGGTTGAGAATACCCATGGAACACGAAGATGACATCCCCCAAAACACATTTCACCATATAATAGGGAAGGAAGGAAGATAGGAAGGAAGGAAGGAAGGAAGGAAGGAAGGAAGGA